TTGGATTGGATTGGATTGGATTGGATTGGATTGGATTGGATTGGATTGGATTGGATTGGATTGGATTGGATTGGAGGGATGGAGGGATGGAGGGATGGAGGGATGGATGGATGGATGGATGGAGTCAATATAACTAAGCATGTCTATGCTGGGGACCAGTGACTTAGGACTTGTGGTCACCAGTGACTTAGGTTCAGCTGTTCCATACTCCTAAGTCATCAGCGAACGGCAATGTGCACGGTAGAAACCCTGTCCCAACTAAATGCTGATGACTTAGGACTACTGTACGAGGCAAATCCAGGCGCCTTCGTCAGATGATTAAAAAGATATCTTAAAACATGTCCAAACTGTGGGGTGACACAGGGTGATGACATAGGCTGTTGTGTTGTGTTTTTTTGCATGTTCTTTTCCTAAGTCCATCACATTGTTAGAGCAAAGAGTTGGACATTTTTGCTATTCATTTTATTCAAGAATGCGTACAAGCAAATACCCTCTAATGTCTGATGACTTAGGATCCATCCCAGTTTTTTTTTTTCTCTCTCTCTCTCTCTCTCTCTCTCTCTCCTAAGTCATGATGTTTATGGCATCTGCAATCTGTCAACTAGTCCTACGTCATCACAGTCTGTGAGTGAATTTCACTCTTTTAAAGAATCTCCGGAGCTAACCATTCTTGGCCGCTTTTTCATTGTTTTAGCCTGATGACTTAGGACTAGTGCTAAAATGTAAAATGTTAACATTTCCTAATGACTTAGGATTAGTGTTTCTGCAGCTATGTCCGCCTAATCCTGGGTCACTTGCACCCAGTATATATGTTCTTTTCTGTTGGAACTCGGCACGCCGCCTTTTCGGGTGAGCACTTCGCACAGGCATAATGTGAAACATCATATGTGAGAGCATAAGTGCCCAGTACCTCACACATCCTAAAACATGTCAGGGAGCAACCCGCGCATCACGGGAGGAGATCAAGGACTGATCTTCGTCGCCTTTCTCTGCCTTCTCTTCCGGTACCAGCAAACGCGCTAAGCCACAGCAAACCAAGGGGATTGCCAGCCATGCCAAAGCGAAGATATAGACGAAAATCGCGCTGCTGTTTGTGGACGATAGCGTGGTTCTCCCCACCGCGATCAGCCAATAAACAAATAGGATGAGTAGCAACAGGCCGGCAACAAAGCAAGGCCGTCCAAAAAGAACATATCTAGTGTTGCAGTCATCCGGGCAGCGGGGTATCTGCAGCACCTCCTTGAAACATCCACAAGAGATGGCCGAGACGATGCAAAGGATTATGGCCACCCTCAAAATGAGATAGATCGCTTTGTCCACTCCCCGATATTCCGTGAGGTAGCTGCAAATCGACCCGCAATTCGGTCCTGGACAAATAGGCTGACAATGCATCAGCACGTCGTCCACTCCTGTGGTGGCAAACAGAACCACCAAGGTCAGCGTCGTGAGAACAGTGCAGGTAATGAAGCTGCCACTTCTATAGTCACGGGCACCACCAGGGCATTCCATCCTTCGCTGTCACGTTTCTGACTTCTCTGCTTCTTGGGCCGGTGGACTTGAGCCAAACATGGATGGATATATACATACATTACATTACATTGGATTGAACTACATTACATAACATACCAATGCATACCCATACATACCAATACAATACAATACAATACAATACATTACGATACAATACACAACAAAATCCAATAGAATGCACAGCACAATGGACGTTTCCTGGGAAGCCGGTCCCGCCTGGGAAGCCGATCTGGCTTCAACTCGTCCACCCAAATGAGGTTGCCCTCACGCGGAGCTTCATCGGCGATCGGCAGAGCTTCACGCGGAAACAGGTCCAGTTGAGCTGAGCAAAGCGAGGAAACAACCCAAGGAAACCACGCGCGGTGGTCATTTCCGGTTTGACCGCCTCGGTGTCAAAGGTATGTGGTCTCTTGGACATCTCCTCGTGCAGCTGCTGCACCTGTAACAGTAGCGATTTTGCGCAAGAAAGAGGGAACCCTACAGCTCTATCCAGGAATCCATCTTGTCCATCCAGTTATAGAATGTCTTGCGTGTTCATGATTTTGAAGAGCTTCACCGGAGCCAATCAGGTGTTTGCTTCCAAGCATGCAGCTCCGGGTCCTTGATGTTGAGAGAACTGATCTACCAAGTACATCCAAGGCTCCGAGTCGTGAAGGTTCCCGAAACAAGGGGACCACTTGGAGACCAGCATGAGAATGCATTATCTTATTATCTATATGGATCCATCAGAAATACAGTTCTGCTACTAGTTCTGCTTTGGTGGAAATAATAAATCAGGAGTAAAACCCCTAAAACCCTATAAATGACTAGGTGCCCAGAAAGAGTCTGGCCACGTGACAAAACAACCTTGCAAAACACGTTCAATTTCATGATCAGCCACTGCCCTTTGCTGACCGACTCTCTTTCTCTCTCTCTCTCTCTCTGTCTCTCTCTCTCTCTCTCTCTAAATGCATGGTAGATGCACATTCACGCACGAGAATACCTGCATGATCAGAATAATTATCTGAATCCAAGAGCTGTTGGAATTGGCTAGGCCTTCCTTCTCTCCTCCTCCAAGGTCTTCTCTGATTCCTGCAAGTAACAACTTGCCCACACAACGGCAAAAGGGCAACGCAGGCAGTTGGTTCTGCCGGCATGTGCGACGGAATGTGACTAGATTGTGGAACATCCGACTACCGAGCGGATCTTCTGCTCAGCAAGAGGAAACCGTGCCGAGGTCCTTGGCCATTCGCTCCTTATCCCGTTTCCGGGCCTCTTCTTGTGCTTTTGCCTAGCGGCGTCTCAGACCGGTTCACTGTGTTTCATGAAACTCAACTGTCGGACACCTGGGGAGCTTAGGCCCAGAGCTTAGCCCCTCCACTCACAGGTCTTCGTGGCATACAGTGAACATCTGCATGTTCTGAATGTGCGTGTGCGTGTGTCTTTCCGAGACCCAAGCCTGCTCAAGAAACCTGTCTTTGAGTTATTGCCCTGCCTCACGCATTCGTTCCTCTTCAGGGTCTACTTGAAGGTCGTTCTCCAAGGGCTGCACCCTCACAATGGATTTGGTCTGGACCGCTTTGCAAATCGTTGCATCCCATGCCGTTTCATGCCTTTAGCAACTGGCTTTTTGATACCGGCACTTATTGCGATCCTTTCACCTAGCACCGTGTTGTTCTCATTGTCCGCCTATCGGAAAAGGGCGGAAAAGGGAGGTTTCGAGATGTTTGGAGGGTTCTATGGAAGGAAAAGGGTGCCATGATGCTCAGGAAGGATGACTTAAACAATTTGGCATGCATAGCTGGAGGAGTTTTAAAATGAAAAAAACAGTGAAAGAATTGAAGCTAACGATGGAGGAAATGGGAGTGTGCTGTCTTCGACCCAATGGGACAAATCAACAGCAAGTGCTTGCTTGTTCTGGCAAGTTCAATTTAGCACGACTCCCAGTGTGTCGCTGTCAGTACTGGTGACGAGGAGCAAGAGTCGGATGCAGGACAGGAGGCTAAGGTTTGCTTGCAAGGGCTTTAGGTTAGGAGCAAGGACGCTACTAGGGCACTAGGGGCTCCTGGTCTTACTACTAGGAACAAGAACGCTACTAGAAACACGAATCAGTGAAAGTCTGATCTTTGAGGCAGAGCCTTGGGCAATTGGCCACGCGCCTGTGTGTGTGTGTGTACGTGTTTGTGCTCCTAGTATATCGTTGCTCTTTCCTGAATGGAGTCGGCGCTTTTCCATTTGCACAGGCCTGGATGACCCGCAGATTCCGGTTTTCTCATTGGACTTGCGGTAGCTGCCCTTGACATTCGGGGGGGAAAGCTACCCTAGAGCTGATACTTCAAGTCTAGCTGTGCTGTTTTGGTTGGGCTCAATCACTTGGGGTAAGCTACGATTGTCTAGGGTAAATGGATGGGTGATGTTGATGAAGCAAAGTTGTTGACATCAGCAGGGCACAGGCATGGCTCCAAACGGCTAAAACAAACAAGCAGAAACTATGTTGCGATTTTAGTGACTATGTGACCCATAGGGGCGGCTGGTTCATGTAATACAATGTCCATTGTATGTGTTGTGCACATGACATGCTTCTGATTGTCGTTTGCCATCAAACGCACTCCTCGGGATGAATTCAGGCGTCTTCCTCGGACCAAACGAGAGAAGCTGGCATCTACGGTCATAGACAACTGCAAACGGGTCAAACAAACAAGGTCCTTGTCAAGACGATGATTAGTTAGACTAGTTTCTGCTTCAGAAACGTGGCCATCTATGAGAACTTGGTTTGAACATGCCAACCCTCATTGCAATCCCAGCATCTGCAGCGAACCTGCGAACTTCTGTCGACTTGCCTCGGCCGAAAGGAGGCTTTCTGAAAGCTACCTGAGACTGCTTTGACCCAATCTGATGTCCCCATGACAGATGTCCCCATAACCAAAACTGCTTTCTGCAGCTACCTGGCGTCCCCATGACTGCTCCTGGTTCCCTCATGTCGCTGCACTTCGCCCAAGCGACCTGGTTCCGCCGCAGCTTGGGAGCTTTAGAGGCCTCGAAACGCCCCAGGTCCCGCATGGAAACATTGGCCACTCGCACAGAACATAGCAAAACCCCAGTGAGAACACTGTAAAAGTAGTGTTTAAAACATAGCTTCACTAAATGCACTTCAGAAGCAGCAACGTTGGTTTATGTTGCAATGCACGTTTTTCGTCTCAACAGTGTCCTATAGGTTCCTGTAAGGATTTGTGCGTTGCTCCTGTCCTTTACTAGGTATACTTGGTGACAATTCGGACAAAGAGGACCCCTTCAAGACACTTTCGCATGTGTGGACAAGCAATCAGGCGCAGGCAGGTAGGACAAACAGCACAGAAGACTGATTGCCACTTGCGTGCCCTACAAGCTGTCAGCAAAAACTACCAGAGGATCGATATAGGAACCAGGTCTTCTTATGATGAAATCGCTGGAATAATTCCGGTTTGGAGTTTGGACCCTTTGCCTTTCTGAGAAAAATGTATGGACTAGAAATCCTTTCAGTGCCCTCCCAAACGAATCGCCGCCTCGTCCGTTTTGCTGCGGCGCACTGGAACATGCATGCGTGCCCAGCTATCCACCTGGCGTCAAAGCACGTGCCGTGTAGGCCGCGCTGAGCCACCGACGCACATGTGTGTCCCACGTCTTGAATTTCCTTCCCCTACAAACCAACTAAAATCATCCAACAAACAACCAAGAAAGTGTATGTCTCTTTCGATCAAATAAAGGACAGGGTGGGCAGTGTCTCTGTGCAGCGAGTGTTGACCTTCAATCCTTCACTGGTCACTAGGTCCTTCTCAAAATGAATTCATTTCAAGATTCAGGGTCAAAAATGGGTGAGTTCCACCAGCTGACGCAAAGTTGCATGCCATCCTGCAGTGTGCTCTCCACTTGTAGATCCGAATCACCCCCCTCACAAAAATGGACTGACAGCTTGACCCTGCGTCAAAGGCCTTTCTTTGCGAGTGACATTGGATTCTGTGAGGCCTCGGTCCCGTCATCCCACGTCCCCGTGAATCAGGTCGCGTCTTCACCTCGCAAATGGTCGGCTCCTCCTCGACTTGCCACTCCTCACCTGTAGAGGTGCACCCTGCAAGATTCTTTCGTTCCAAATGTCCATCAGCAGGATTTCCCTTCACCCTCGAAATTGACATGGCGAAGCTGCAGATCGTCCGGATCGGCAAACACAAGTGCAAGAATGACAAATCCCTGGAAGAAGTGTTGGCTAAGAAAGCGAATTCAAAGCTGTCTTTGGATGCTACCAGCCCAACAGCAGCCTAGCTCTCCACCCACAAGTGGTTCGCCATGGTCGTGGTGCACATAGCACCTCATCAGGTCCACAAGAACGCCTCATGCCATTTTGTCAAGAAAAGAATGCCTGGAGCCTCTCAATGTGACGAATCTTTGGGAGATGCCAAAAGAAATAAAATCAAAATTTGCGCTTGGAGTGCCAGTATCATCAGGGTGTTTTGGTTGATATTAGATCAATTGAGTGCCAAGACGTCACATCGAAACAAATGCGTAAAGGCCTTCTGTCAAGCTTTCAAAAAGCCTAACCTGTCCCAAGTCTAGGCACATTCGCAGGCGGCTGACCAATGCATCTGTGGCGACCGTGGCGGCAAAGGAGAATGCCTCACACCAGGGAGTACATGTTTGTTACTGGAATTGGTGGAGAAACCGATAGCAAGCGGCACAGAGTCGCTGGGAAAATATACTGGATCTACATTCAACTTCATGCTACTCAGAAGAAGTAAGCCCCAACATGTGCTTGGGTCAAGATGGGTGGAATGGGAACAAGAAGCTAGTAGGAACAAGTGCATCGCTACTAGGAGCAAGAACGCTACTAGGGGCTCCTGGCCTTTCTACTAGGAACAAAAAGCCACTAGTAACAAGTGCATCGCTTCTAGTAACAAGTGCCTTACTAGTAACAAGAAGCTATTAGAAACAAGTGCCTTACTACTAGGAACAAGAAGCTAGTAGGAACTGTTGCACCCACTTGAGAGAGATGTGACTTTGAGAGTTACCCCTGGTTATCTCAAAAAGGAAGGGGCACCATGGGCCCACTTAAGTAGGAACCAGGTTGTACTTAATTGTACCCTCAGAAAGAGCATCTGCAATTTATGCAACATGCTCGAACTATCAGGTCCCATAGGTTGAAGCTCTTGTTTTCCAAACAACTTTTGCTGCTCATGATCCTGCCAAGCACTCGTGTTCATGTCGACTTCTTGCAGCCCTTGTTTCGACTTCTTGTTCTTCCGCTCCCAATCAAACCACTCAATCTGAGAGTTCGTTGCTAGCCAAGCTGTCCAATCAAATCTGATTGTTGCATCTCGGAGATCCTGCCCACGCTCCCCCAATCCCCAAATCTATCACCTTGCGCTCCAGGTATTTCTGCCATAAGAGTGTGCCACCCTCGGTTAGGATCCTTAGGCAAAGCGGAAAAAAGGACCACGAGGAGGGAGTTCTAGCGCCTTGTGGCGTTCAGCCAACCTGTCAAGACTGGTCGGTACACACGCAGATTCCTTGTAGCAGCTCCAAACAAAGAACACAGGAATGAAACGACTTCAACACACCACTTCAAGAATTGGGATACCTGAGGCCACGAGAAAATGTCAAGAGCGGCTTACGTTACAATCCCAAGATTAGTCCATTGCCAGTCCAAAGTCAGGAGCCAATTTTGAGGTGCGCGTCCTTTTGTGGATTGCTTCCCAAAGCACTTGGTAAAACATGCACCCAACCAATTTCTTAAGGGGGTATCCCAAGCAAGGAACCAAGAATAGACAAATGATATACCTAAGAATATGTTGGAATCAGAGATCTAGATGGGATCCCGATTGTTTGGGTTCCACTCTGGTGAGAACCTCAAAAGAAAAGAAATGGTGTGCTAAGATTCGCTAAAAGAAATGGTCAACCACCATTTGGTCACCCCTCCAACAAGGCGCTGATCGATGGTAGCGTGTACTGCTTCTTCTGCAATGCAAAGGCCCCGCCCGTAGTCTACCCAGTTACCCTCCATTGCGCAGGTGGGTGCGCAGGCAACTTACATTAATGATTACTCTGAAGTGATGAGTTGTCCATCCTGTTTCTGGGGTTGTTGCCAGTCCGCTGGGCAGCTGAGGTTTGCAGGCAAACCGACTCTCAGATTTGACAATCCTGATTCTCTTCGAGCCAAAGAAAGGTCCTCTCACTCAGAGCTGGTTAGGAACAACCAACACAAGCAGAGGACACTATATTTCCCACGTGATCCTGCTTGAATACAAAGTCTTTCAGTTTAGGAATGACATTGTAGATCATTGTAGTAGGCAACGGTTTTGAACAAAAAAAATCAGAACCTCTACATCATCAGACTTGGGCCGGGAAAGAGCCCATGTCGGTGTGCAGGTGCTCTTTTGGCAGGGCCTTCCAGAACAGCATCGAGACAGCAAAAAAAGGGAAGACATAAGACGTGACATAAATGTAAAATACAGGCTACTAGGAGCAAGGACACTACTAGGGGCTCCTGGCCGTACTACTAGTAACAAGGAGCTACTAGTAACAAGTGCATCGCTTCTAGTAACAAGTGCCTTACTACTAGGAGCAATGTTCGCTACTAGGGGCTCCTGGCCTTACTAGTAGTAACAATGGTTGCTATTAGTAACAGGTTCTCAAGGACGGTTGCATCCATCCCTTTGAGCAACTGGCTAGACTTTGGACTACGATAGTGATCCTTGCACCTGATACCAGTTATCATTCATTCGTTCCCGGCCCTACCCTCTACCGGAAGCCTGTCAACGTCTTTACAACTAAACCAGAGCCTTATACAGTAGTCTTTTTCTTGGAGCAATAAATATCCTGAGTCCTGATCGTGTCCATGGGTTCCAACAAATGCGGGTCACAGGATTGTTTTGCACATCTTGGATGTAAATACATCCCGTCTTGGTTCGCTCACGTATATAATCATTTATTGGCCACTTCCTTGCTTTCACCCTGAAGAAATAATGAGACATGTAGATATATACATCTACTTGAAACACAAAAAAGCTCTCATGTCAAAAGAATCCGCTACAAAAAAAGAAGAAAGAAATGCAGAACGTGCTGGAATCTCCAAGCTGCACACGTTTTGCTGTCAAAACATCCCCATCCCGCTCTGTGGCGAGACTAAATCAGAGCTAGTGAATCTATGGGTAGAAGGATCCTGGATGAGCAAGTGCAAGCCTTCACTGATCTCTTTGAAGCAGCCCAACGCCCTGCAACACACCCGTACTTATATATTATGTATATATATATACATATAACATGTTGTTCCCTCTTAGGAGCCGAGTCTGTGACATCCATCTGAGACATCTGCATGTTGTATGAGTCTTCCCCGAGTAAGCTCGCAATGCAAACAATGATACAAAAAACATTGGACACTTTAAACCCATCTGAAAAAACCAATGTCCTCGGTCCACGGTCTTCAGAGATGGAGAACTTGACAAAAGGCCCACCACTTCCCCAAACACAGGTGTAAGGACTGTGCCCACCGACCTCCTCTCCCTTTCTTCTTCTCCTACCGTCTATCCCTCTTTCTCATCTGCTTTGGACTGGTATGAGGGCGGGAGTGTTATCTATCTTCAAAGTGCTCTGATGGAAGGCCAAACCTGCCTGCCTAAAAAGGATGCAGTTTTCAGAGACGGGACAGAATGCATTGAAGAGGCCAAGCTTCCAGCAACAACTGACAGGACCCGCAGCAGTCCATATGAGGAGATATCACCAAAAGCAGCTCTCCTTCAAAGCAGCTCAACCAAGGATCATTTCTACCAGTGTCTGCCCTAGCCCCCTCCAGCTTCGCCGGACGCACCTGTTCCATGACGGGAGCACACGTGGGTGCATCAACAGCAACTGCTAGTTGCACTGGGTGCTGGTGTGTCTTACAACAAGGTGATATCAATTCCAGAGCTTCGGCTAAACACCCTGAGCCGGATGGACTGAGACTGTGAATGCTCACAGCACGGTCTCAATAGGGCAAGGACATACATTGGCTTGGCACTCAAGTCTTGGCTTCTTTCAACAGTAAGTTGAAGGGTGAGGGGGTTTGTCAGAATTCATGAAAGTCAACTGCTTCTGGCAAGCTCTCTTGGAACAAACCATCCTTTAGTCATCAAAACGAACCTGCGGGCAGCTGTCTCCTGGAATCTACCTTTAAACATGCCCTCTAGGAATCGCCATACATGAAATACATCGCTGAAGAGAGGCATACCAGCATTCCAGTCGACATGGGGACTGTCATTGCTCATCCTCTGTGCACGCTACTTGCGCGAACAATTACGTAGCTGATGGCTACGGGGGAGCTTCTCATCAGAAGGAAGTGCTGAAGCACTGAAGCACCTCCCACACTGCAGGCAAAGCCATGCAAATGTGGGGAGAAGAGAGAAAGATTAGTGAAAATGGTCGAAGGCGTCCACAATTGACATATAGAATAGAGTGATCAATACCAGAAATCCAAGAAAAAACGGCTTGCATACAAACACGGAAAAATGAATCCCGACCTCCAACTGAGCCCGGGAGGAGCAAAGAATGAAGAAATAAGATAATCGCCCCAATTTTCTGGCCAAAGGATTGGTTGATCTGTTTTGCTGTAGCATTGAGGACACCGTATTGCAGAGCAAATAACTTGTGTGGCCTTACCCCAACATCCCCAACTGAAGTCCACCATGACTTCTAATGGCAAAATCATGCCAACAGGCCAGAAAGTAGGTGCTGTGCAGCTTGGTGTCGAGCCGTACTTGTACGCTTTGCTATTCTTGCTCTCTTCTCATGTAACAGGTACAAAAAAATGCACGTTTGTACAGGTGAGTGGCCGCTGCCAGCGGTTGTGCTCAAGTAATTCGGCCCAGGATCACGTGTTGTGTCGGGCACTGGAGATCAGCAATCCCCCACTCGGCGCACAAACACAAAACCCTGCAAACTTTGACAATACTCGGAGTGGGCACAGCGGGGATTGCCAAGTCCTACCAATATATCTGAGGATGCACATGCAAATAGTGTCAAATCATCGGGTTGCAGGCACAGGCCCACGGGCCCCTCGTCACCCCAGGATCCTGGCAAAGCCCTGCTGCAGGCGGCCAAGCTCAAGGTCATCCGATGCAAAGCGCACACCTAGGAACACAAGATAAAGGACCGGATAACCCCACATATGAGTCTTTACGAATCTTAAGTTTCTAAAGCACAAAGCAGTCAGAGTCCCAATAGCTTCTACAGCATGGCCTTGTCAGGCATTATATCAGAATCACACAACAGAGGGGTGGGAGAGAGGTGTGGGAGAGTAATGTGCACGGCGGATGTAGGAGGTATTGCGCAGGCAACGCAACAGCCAGAGCTGCTAACAGAGCATGGAGGTTCACAAAGTGCTGCGCCCGCCACGAATTCTGCACGTCAAGAAACAAGTGAATACTCTAATCACAATGGAGGGACGGACCGGCGACCACCGGCGACAACCGCAGACAACCGCAGACAACCCCAGACAACGCAACAGCCAGAGCCTCTAACGGAGCATGGAGGTTCACAAAGTGCTGCGCCTGCCACGAACTCTGCACGTCAAGAAACAAGTGAATACTCAATCACAATGGAGGGACGGACCGGCGACCACCGCAGACAAGACAACGCAACAGCCAGAGCCTCTAACGGAGCATGGAGGTTCACAAAGTGCTGCGCCTGCCACGAATTCTGCACATGGAGGTTCACAAAGTGCTGCGCCTGCCACGAATTCTGCACATGAAGGTTCACAAAGTGCTGCGCCTGCCACGAATTCTGCGCGTCAAGAAAACAGTGAATACTCCAATCACAATGGAGGGATGGACCGGCGACCACCGCAGACCACCGCAGACAACCGCAGACAACCGCAGACAACGCAACAGCCAGAGCCTCTAACAGAGCATGGGCAGCATGGAGGTTCACAAAGTGCTGTGCGTGCCACGTAAGATGTGTGTGATCTCTGTGTGTGTGTATGGTCTCTGTGTGTGTGTGATCTCTGTCTGCGTTGTCTCGGTGTGTGTTGCCTCGGTGTGTGTGGCGGAGGCGGAGGCGGGCGGAGGCGGGAAGCGGGATGAGACATAGAAAAGAAGAACCCCACACTAAGATGTGGGGAATAAAATTCAGAAATCTCGGAACTCAAGAACCGGATAACCAGACATGCAAATAGAGCGTGGGGAGAGGATGGTGTGCGTCAGTTGCTGAGTTGGTGTGTGAGGGAGCTGCGGGAGGTCGAGAAGGAGGAGGACCGAAATGACGCAGTAAAAAGAACCCCATACTAGCATGTGGGGAAAAAGAACGGATGGACAACCTGCACTGAACAAGGAAATTAATGGGCCAAAATTCGATGCTTTTATGATTTATGTCAACCTGTGGTTCTTGAGCAAGTAGGCAGCTAGCAAGAAGTGTCATCTTCTTTAGCAAACTAGAAACGTGAGCTGTCCAGTCTTCTCCTGGCCTGTCAAGGGCATCAGGCGACCTGACGTTCTGTGTTTTGGAGAGGCGCGACGTGTTGCTTTCTTTGTTCTACTGACATTGATAAACTTGAAGACCCTAGGCAGTACTGCAGAAAGTCAGCGCAGAAAGAGGGTCTACAACTAGAAGCATGTGCAGACTTTGAAGAATGGTTCAGTATAATTAACTGCGCTTCGGAAGGCCAAACTCAAAAGCACTTCGCTCGGTTTACTCCGCTACGATCTCAAGACTCCATGTGTCCAACTACCCCATCACCCCAACAATATTCCTGCAACTCAATCCTTCGGTCCCTCCCCGTTCTGACTTTCTCATGAAAACTCCCATCCTGCACAAACATCTGAATGTTTTGCTTCTGGGTCCTCTGGGCTTCACTGGGTCCCCAGCGCATCAGACTCTTGCTGCGGCGCATCTTGTCTCCGTTCAGGGGCTCCCCTGGATTCAGGGGTGATCCACAACTGCAAAGGACTGCGTCCGGCCTTGACTTCGAACCTAGTCAAGACTCAGATTTGGCATCAACGGGTTCTGACGGACGATCTGATACAGAAAATATGCTGGCTTGGAACCACTCCAAGATCTCCAAAGATTCAGAAGATCCCAAGCTATCAAGTTCGTTTTTGACCCTCAAAGACCAAGTCCCACCTTTTCAATTCGCAAATCGTGAGCCACTCATTTTGACCCAGTCCAGCGCTTTGGCCAGAGAAAACTAGATGGATGTATCCTTCAGTGAGCTGGTCATGTTCCAAATCGTGGGCCAATATAGGCAGACTAATTTCAAGCAAACAGTAGTCTCTCTGTATCAAAGTCAAATGCACGATGAAGCAGCACCAAGATCAACTCATATAACTCATCCACCAAATGGAAATTGCTGCAAAAATCATGGAATGTTATCAGCCCTGTACAATTCTCAACTCTCCAACGGGCTGTCCACATTCCTTCAATCATGTTCTATAAAAATGGGATAGAATGATTCGGAGCCTGTAGAAGACCCTGCATCTGACACTTGTGACTGCTTCAACCGAGGGTCAAGCAAGTGTCAAATCCAACCTGCACGGTCTTTCACAGTCTGTCACGGTCTTCAATTAGAAAGAAAAGGATGGACCTCTGTCTGGACTCCGTCTATGGTCTCGCAGTCAGCTGGGACCCTTGTGGCACCCAGCCGACAAATCAAAACGTCGCCTAGCTGATGCTCTCAAAACGGCCACCTGTATCTGTTGGCACTCAGATCGCTCTTCTGGTACCATCTGCAGTAGGAATCGGGCATTTCAGCAATGACGTAGTCATGGCAAGACCAAAAAAATGACAGCAATGGTAACCGTAAGATTGTATGCGTGCCACTGTCAGTGAATGATTTTGATCTACCTGATCAAATAGATCTCCAAACGGTGATGAATTATATAGCTAAGATACGTAACATCGTAACTTTAGCAGAATGACAAGGGCAAACGCACAAGGAGTACAAAAAAGACAGAAAGAGTTCTTGCGTAATTCGAGATTGTGATTTTAAAAAAAAAGGCCAAAGGAATAGGACCCTAATTAAGTGTCTACATATTCCTCCTAAGAAACTGCAGGCAAGGAAGTGAAGTCTTCATCCTTATCTTCTCACGTGAACTCTCCAGCACGATAGCAACATCAAAGACCATACAGTAGTACCTGTTTCTGCTCGCTTTGAAACACTCAATCACAAACAAACAAACAAACAAACCAATACACAACCAAGCGAGCGAGCGAGCCAGCAAGCAAGCAAGCAAACAACCAAACAGCCGCCGCAAGAACTGTGACACACACACACATATATATATATATATCCTGCTCTAACCATATAAATTGTCGTCAATACTGGCGGCCATGTAGGCAAGCGCAAGCACGCGCAGCAACTCGATCCAAATCGTCCCGCTTGTGCCAGGAAGTGGACCAGCTTGATGCATTTGACACAACTTTAGAAAAACTATGCTCACCCTCTTCAAAAGCATTGCGGTGCCCGCGCATCACTTTACAACTTTACAACTCACAGGCCGAAGACAGGCCTGGATGCAGCGTTGAGAAGTCGAAAACTGGGAGGCTGCGAGGGCAGGGTTGGCACCTAAACGGTCCTACATGCCAGGTCATGCAATTCTTCAAGGGAAGCAAGCAGGGGTAGCAACCTGGTTGCCGGGGGCCTTTGCCGCAGCCATCTCGGTGAAACCGTCATATCCGTATCCTTTAAAGCGGCTTCCAGGCAAAACACCAGGCGTCCAGGTGTGACATGTGATCTGCCTCTCATAATGTGAAATCTGATCCAGGTAAACTCTGTCTTAGTTTGTCCTTGCTGCGATACACCACCCTAACTGCTTGCAAGTCATGCAAGGAATCATAGCAAGAACAAGAGATATACTGATACACGTATGAGTCTGAGTCCAGTACAAGTCTACATTGGAACAGACTCCATTAATTTGTGCATGGACGAATTGCAACAGTCCGCCAACCAATGAGACCAGGGTTGCCCTACGTTTAAAGGTAGCAAACACACGGCAACGACGGCAACCAGACTTTTTCAGTCCGAACCTTGGCCACCTTGGCCGGCCAAAACCATGAGCCTTGATCTCCGTTGATCTCCATTCTGGTTTGGTCCTCTGACTGGGAAGGTCAAACACATTATTTAAGCTATCATTTGGACCCTACTAGGCCCCCGACGGCTCAGACGACCCCATGTGCCCAGAGGCGTACCAAATCAAAGCATAAAGAGGATCAAAGAGACTGCCATGACCAGCATGCCCAAGGCCATACCTGCAGTCATGAGCAGAGAAACACATGACCAGCATGCCCAAGGCCAAAGCTTGAAGAGATCTCAGAACTCTCATCATTTGCAATCAACGGACTGGTAGTGACCACCGAGTCGTGAGGGTCATAGCGGTGGGCAGTGGGCAGCAATTCCAGGCACACAAGCATGATCATAATTCCTGATCTGCACAAAAAAATTAGGATTCTATAAGGTTGGGGTATTCCAAAGTTCTTCCAAAAATAAAAGACTTTGTTCTAGTCCCGGCATTCACATAGAGGCTATTTTCGCGTGACGTGTGTTCTCTTTGTCCAGCAGTTCAAAACATATACAACGGACACTTGCTGCTTGGCGGAGGGGATGCACCAAATGTCCCGCTGAAGTCTTTTGAAGACCCTAGACTAGTTGTGGAAATGTCCTAGCAGTCATTCTAGGCATGTGCTTCCAGCTCGAGTTAAGTGCTCAGGGGCGCCACATGGTTTAACATGGTTTGGTTTGCATTTGAGTGTCAGAAGTCTTCCTGCAAAAGCAGTCCCAGACCCTACAAAAGCCTGAAAGCCTTGCCAAAGGTATTTACAGACTCCTGCCACGGTCCCAAAAAGGATGCCATAGACGATACCTTTCATGTCGTCACCACTTACTGCCACAATCGCCCAGGCGACCAGTGCCCCAATAGGCTCTGAGATCCCAGAGAGTGCCGCCAAAAGGAAACCTGTCCAGGGATTGGAAGGAGACAAATACATGTCGCTCTGAAGGACTATGGCACTTTTCGATTTGCTGAGACGTGGCAAAAGAATCGAGAGTGCTGTCCAAACCTTCTGATGCAACGCTTTTTGTGCCTACCCACCTTTCAGTCTGCTTCCCGTTGAGTAGTAGATGGGAAGTGCTACACAGAGGCCTTCCGGAATATTGTGGATTGCAATCGCAAAGGTCAATGTAAACCCCACCGAGGGATCGATGAGACCAGCAACCATTCCAGCAAGCCCCTCGGGCAGGTTATGGAGAGTAATTGCCAGAGCTGTGCTCAACCCCATCCGCAGCAGCTTCTTGGTTTGTTTTTGGTCTATTGGGTCCATAGAGTCCTGGGCCTTTGCATCTTTGTTCTCCAAGCCAACATGTTCCAGTGAGGCTCCATCCTCATGACTGCCTGGAGGGGCCGTTTCGGCCGCCTTTTCCAGTTGCTCAAACTCCTGCTCATGTTCAGGATCCAAGAGATATGTCAGGGCCACCACCAGTCGCATGAGTATCATACCACCAAACAGGCAGCCAGTTGACATCCTCAAATGACACTGAATTTTGGCTCACTCCGAGAAGCACCTTCATACTTCTCAACGTCCCCAAACCAAGAAGGTTTCACATGGTGTTGCTAAGTCAGCCATGAGAGGAAATCTGATGAGTTTGGCGACCCCTGGATTTTGGGGTCCAGTGATTCTGAGCAGCTGGAGGTCCCTCTGGCTAGCTCAAATGTAGTTTAATCAAATGCTCAATGGCTCAATGTGCTGACAAAGCAACATGAGGGATTATTTATGTTATGTGTTGAAAAAAACACCACAAAACGTCACAAAACACATAACGCGAGAAAATGCCAGCGTCATGTAGGCGTGCTTCTCTTCAATCCCAGCAGTCGTAAATCCATCTTTAGCCTGCCACTGCCAAGTGACAATAAAACGAACAGCCAGGCAGGAGTCTCTAAGCTATTTCACACAGATGCGCTGCTCGCCTTCTGAAAGATCTCGATGAATGAGACATACAGCCTAAGCTGTCATGGCTTACACGGTTGTGACCCTTCTACCCAACCTAGCTGTGATGGTTCGATTCCGACCAGAAGCATAATGCCAGAGGAGAAGCCCAAGCCAGCGGCCAAGACCCGCCTGCTTGCCAACTGGACCTCAGATGGACAAAACCGACGAAACCCCGAGCTGAGAGCTCGTTTCACCACCCGCAAATTTAATTAAGTAATTTCCATGGATGCATTCACCACCCCTTAGATAAAATTCCTGAGAATGCATTTGGATGAAGAAAGACACATAGCAGCCTAGTCATTTAACTGGTGAGGATGGGACAGACAAAAGAATAACATTTAATATCTTACCTGAATCCTAAAGATATCAACCATTATATAATACAATGACCGGCGTAAATAAGAAAAACATAATTCCTGATAAGACGATATAGATGAAAACCAAGATATGTCGCGGTCGAACCCGCCAAAAGGTCGAGCGCGGAGCATCCGCGAAAAGCGGACCGCTGGTGCTCTTCAGAACCTGCGAAAAGCTCGCCGCTCGCCTGGCCTCAAGTTGAGGCCCTCAACTAACTAACAGGCGCCCGAGGGGTTGAGCGGGTCATTTGAACAATTGTGAACCACGTGTTTCTTAAAGCCGCACGAGTCAGACGTTGACACAAATGCTCAACACGGGTACTTGGGGTCCAATTGTTGAGATCCCCTTCCTGAATTCCAGAAGGACTCTGCCTTTTCTCCAGGATACCAAGCAGTTGAAGAAGACCGCGGAGGCACCCAAACAGGTAGAAAGGCCCGCCACAACCACCATCAAGAAAGCAATACCAGCATGGTCAAGATTGACCACCATGGGCGAAACTTTTGGATTCTTACAGACAGCCAAACTCTCCTTGTTCTTCCTTGTTTGCACCTTGAGCAAACCATTGCGGGAAGGGAAGGGTCCAAGCCTCTCACATCCTACTCACACGAAGAAAAAAAAGAGAGGAAAAGGCTGTGAGGCAGATCTTACAGGCAACCCGGGCATGGCACAACTTGTTGCAGGCGGTTGTGCCGGTTGTGCGTACGGGATTTCAGCCCGTACCGTTCCGCCTCTGCTGAATTCGGGATCATTGGCGCCTGGCACCGGAGTGAACTCTCTGTGGAAGTGGTTCATTCAAGACATGACCAAAAAGCTACATAGATCAGTCCCATCAAATCCACTGCCCAACGGCTCAACAGCCAATCAATCCGAAAATAACTGACCAGAACAGCTTGTGACGACTCCTAAACTGCTGAACCTGCCCGCCTGTGGCTTCAAAGTTCGGCCAGGGGGAGTTCCTTTGGCCTCAAAAACAGAGGCTCGGACCAAACACGGGACGAGGCCATCGGGCCATCGGGTCGTGTTCTTCTCACCCTGCTAAAGACAACAGCTGCACACGCTGCTTGGATTGTCCCCAAAACCAGGCCCATCAGAAGAAGCTTCGGTGGATCGCGGAGAAACATCCGAGATCTCCCGCGTTGGAAGTCGTGCAGCGAGTGCGAGGGCCTCAAAGTCAGCAAAGGACACTCAATACAAAACAGGTGCGCATTGTGTGCATTAGAATACGCCTGAAAGACCCCCGGGAAGAAGAAATTGACAAATACTGTAGCCGCTGTAGCCATTTGGTTGGAGACATTTGGCAAGTTGGAGACCTCTCTATTCAAGGTCCATACCCACACGGATCTCTAGTCACAAGGTCAATAGGATCGTCATGCTGCACTCATAGCGACCCCCAAGCCCAATTGTCTATGTCTTTGCCATTCAGATTCCCTTGGCGCGTATGGGGTGTGCATGTTGTTCAAGTAAGACACCTTGAAAGGTGATAATCAGGTAACAGTAAAAGGCTGGACTCACCGGACTGCAACCCACTTGTGGTCTTGGTCTTCGGAACCCTGAAACAGTTATACTGGGTTTGTACATATTATACAATGTTACAGTTGTAGATGCTTCAGAAAGACCGGGCCTTGGAAATCAAAAATATCATGAAAGAATCCTGCCTGCAATCCTGAAAAGAAAAAGCAGACGTTCTCTCCTGACCTTTTCGAACTACCTGTATAGTTGGCAGGTGTGGTCATTTGCTTGACTCAAAACCATTCTGACTCGTCGATTTCAGATCAGACACATCTCAGTGGCGCGAAGCAGCAAGGGCAAGTTGTGCCAACCTCAGCCGATGAGAATACTGCTTCGCGGAGAATACCGTGCCCTTAAAAATCTGCCTGTTACTCTGGTAACTCTTGCGCATGATAGCATGTGGCGAAAATACCAACTCTTGTGCTGAGATTGTGAGAGCCAAGACAGCTACTGTAAGAGTTTGTTGAAACCTCCTGAAGGGAGGCTATTGCAATTGCTATTAGGTGGGAGGCCATCGCTTGTAGGTTGGAGGCTGTTCCAGTGAACCCCATAGAAGAACATGACGTCTGTTGAAATGCCATTGGCCATTGGTGGTCGAGACCAACCGCTTGGTGGTCGACACGCCAAAGGTCGAGCGGAAGCACTTCGGCTCTCCAAGCGCGCAAAGGCCTGGGCCGAAGGCAGCTGTTCCCGTTCTCTCACATCCAACTGCCCTAAGTTTGCATCAAACGATGTGAATTTAACTTCGACTTTGGGCCACCTCTTGGCCCTTCGATTTTTGTCCGATTTGACCATGTATGTGTGGACACAGCGACTGTAAAACCCCGCGTCGGCCTCCATGCATTCGCCATTTCGCTGCCTGGCCTTGTCGCCCCGGCCCCGCCTGGTTGTGGGCCGTGCAACTAACTACGAATGCACACATCGTTCCTGGAGGTGTACAGTGTACAGTCTCAAAGCTTGATTTGCACATTGGACTCATCGGACCTTGTGAGATTTTCTAGCTCCTTTGCTATCATGTTTTATCAGATCTCCCTGAGATGCACAGAAAGCTTGGTCCCATTTCTACAGCAGCTACTCCACTTGCAGTTACATTGAAGAGACTCCACCCAGCAGCTTTGCTTCAGACCAGCTTGGATGGACAGTTGTGCGTCGAATCGACATGAAACTCCTGAGGGTAACTTCAAAACAAAACACCGCAACCGCCTGCAGTTACAGCGTGTGGACCTAGTTCATTCTGTATGCAGTGACGGAGCGAAATTGATGTGGTGGCGGGATGTCATTGATCGTGAAGGCCGCACTAAATTGTGCAGCAAGTTGAAAGCTGCCGGCGGTTGCCTCTGTTGCAGGAAGAGGTCCGTCAAAGTGGCTGCCAGTGAAAGTCGCTGGTGCACCTGCCAGTCTGCTCGCCATTTTCTCAGGCTATAGACAAAGATTGCTTTCATTGATCGACCGAGTATATATATATATACCTAAAACACAAACAAGAAGCCTTGAACTGGCAAAACAAAATTGGTGCCGTTGATTAGTGATTAGTATTGGCCAGGTTCAAGGTGCAAAAAGATGCACCACATAGGATCAACAACGGCGTTAGAGGCATCCACAGTGAATTTGAGGAATGCATTGTGGGCTGGGGGGAGCCAAAAACCATCAAGAAACATCTCTGATACACACACTCAAAACACAGGCCAAGGTGCAACAGTGGAAGGTCTGATAGTCACATCATTGATTAGAAAGATTAGAAAGTGTATATGATTATATGATTATATGATTGTATGATTGTATAAGCATGTGTGTATCCAGTATACGAGCTTGTATTTATTGCTGTCTGTGTGGGATTACAGGCATCAATGCATCCACTATTGCAAAGCATGCCGAATCACACAGAATGCCTCCGACCAGTCTCCAGCACCATCCAGCAGCTCTTGCACCTAGCGTAGGTAATCCAGGTCCCTTGTGTAAAGCCATGAGAGCCGGGACTTATTGCCTTGAAATGCTCCTTTGCCCCTTTAGACTTTAAACAAGGTGGAAGTTCTGCAGTCTGAAAAGGAGATTATGCCTCTTACACACAACTAACACCTTGTGTTGCCTTCTCTGAACTTTCCAAGTGCTTCAATCGTCAACAATTCCTGAACGGCTGCATCACCCGCAGGATCTACCAAGCCGGTTGAGTTCTATTCTGATCAACCCAAAGGCTACTCTTCATGAGCCTTTGTCAGCTGTTCTTGCGCATCCTCAAGACACCCAAAATGCACCAAGCGCACTCCTGGCCATCAATGTTTTACTGCTTCCTGCAACTAAAAACACCAATTCAGCATCGTTGCAGACTGGTCGCTTTTCAAACAGCACAAAGTGGACTTAGCAGATTTCACCTAAACAGTGCAATATGTCTGCTACAAAGCACGCCCCCTCAATTTTGGAGAAAACAAATCACAAATTTGGCTAGCGGATAAAGGTCGGGCCTTAGTACCGGAGTCCTACCAGCAGTATCCCACAACTCCAACAACAAGAAACACAACCGAGCCAAATGGAAAGTTGCATTTGGACCTCTAACAGGCCACTTCTAACGAAAAGCAAAGCCACAGCGCATTTGCTTTCCAATGGATTGCCACACCCAGCCTTTTGTCACAAGTCGATCCGCCGTTGCTTCCAGCGAGTCCTCAGATGAAAGCTGTGCTCTTGACCACCTCTGCGGGCATAGCGTTCGAGGTTCAATAAAGTTGGTGCAGATTGCCTGGCTTCAACATCTGGTGCAAAACCCTCACAACTGGTCCCAAAACTCTGCAACACCTGCACCGGCACTGCTGTGGTTGTCTGAACCGATATGGCCTCCAACTTAAGAGCGATGGCCTCCAACCTAAGAGTATGCATGAAACAACAGGGGCTGCCGAGTGTCGTCCTTTGGCCAAGGGCAGCTGAGAGCATGTCCCAGGCCCCAGACCTGCGTCGGGTCAGGTGGTGAAGGCGAGACCTCGTTGCCCAGAAACTGAAGGGAACAAGTGATAAGCAAAAGGCCAAGCCCGAGTTTTGGCCAATGAATCATTGAATCAAGTTTGAATCCAAGTGAATGTTTGCTTTATGGCACGGCACCTCGATATGATGCATCCGCCCCTTTCCCATCTACAGCTTGAACCTTTGGTGAAGGAACGACACACCTGTCACTAGCTCTGCCCATGCCTCTGTCTCGAGTTGTGCAGCAGCAGCATCTGGCGGACTGAAAATCGGACAAACACAGTAAATTCCACACTGGATCCGATGCACCACATACTGGGCGGTGGATCATCTGACAAAAAAAAGGCTCACTCTTCCGCCAATATCGGGAAGAAAAGTCTTTCGGCTTTATCCTGTCCAGTGGGAGCTGAGCATCGTTAACCCAGCGGGGCAACTATATGCCTGGCCACCGTTTGTAATGCCAGAATGCATCTAAGCCTCGGGCTTAACAACCGCTTGGCCTGTGCCTTGCCACGCTCCCCAGCATAGAGCTCTGCATCCTCTCAAGCAAAACCCTACCCAACACTGGGTGATACTACAGCTGGGTTGCCAATGATGAAACTGGCCTATCAAAAGGAGCAAGAATACAATTGAGCAGGTTCCTTTACATGTTCCTGTCTAGACCGCCAGGATCGCCCCCCGTCCTTCAACCAAAGACCTAAGAGTCCCGACTTGCTCCACTCCAGAAGCTCCTGCAGCACATTTGCATCGAAGAGGCATGGATGCATTCTGTGGGAATCTCTTATCTAGCCCATGTTAGATATCCGCCCCACAAACAACGTTCCCAACAGGTAGGTAAGTGCTGGAAGAAACATCAGAACCAAGCTTTGGCTTGCAAGCTACATCCTGCGACAGACTTCGCGAGCTGGGTTAGCACAAAAAAATCATAATGGAGTTTTTGCAACAGAAGTATCACACTGCTGTGTGAGGTATCATTGGTTCAATGATCAACACAATGACCACCCGCTGACTGCGTGAAAGTCTTGCTGGTGCAAAATGCCATTCTTCTGTCACCACATTACGACGAAAATAAGGGCTGAAGGTTCCCGTGTCCTTGGC